TCCAGGCCCTCAGCTGAACGACCAGGACTCCTGGAGACAGGGACAGGAGGTCCGGTGCTCTGGGAAACACTTACTTCTAGTATTTACCTTCACTGCAGCTCGCTTCCTTCCTTGCTTAAGGCAAGAAAGCTAGCGTTATAACTACCCCCCCATTATATCTACGTACTCTCGTTCAACTAGATTGGGTCTAATGATTCCCTCGTTGAGCTTATTGATAATAACTGAGTTCTACAAACAGGTATTCTCGGTTTGGTTCAGGGTCGCAGAGATTTTCACTCGTTTGCTTCAAGCCCTGTTGAATCCCAGGGCATCACAGCGGGAATCCACACTAACGGATTGCCGTCCCCTGAGCAAAATGTATTACGAAACTCAATATTTGGCTGGCTGACCAATAATTAGACGCGTACTTCTAACGGAACTAGAAGAACTAATGCATTGTAGCACTCACGCACTGCAAACTGCGTACACAGTTCCGGTGTGGGCCTACTGGACCTGGCAACCGGATTGTGTGAACTACCAGAGTAAAGGTAGAAGCTGGTCAGTAAAGCTTTTTTACGGATTGTTGAGTCACTAAACGCCAATTATCCCGGTTTTTCTCTCACGGCACCCCCACAGGCTTAACCCCACATAGCATATTGAAGCCGTCGTGCTCCTCACAGCAGGCCAGTTGAGTGCAGCATCCGTGAAACATCCCGACAACGCCTTGCAGCGTTCTACTTTGCAGTTCAGTCTCCCTCCTTGAAATTTATTGTGGTCCAGGCAAAGCAGTCGGCCAACTTGGGCAACACTTATTGTACATGTTCAGGGACGGCTTCTGCCTGGCTCCCGTTCTGTGCGAGAGCTTGTTGGTTAGTGGGGCTTTAACAGGACAATATACCAAAATTGAATAATGGGAACGGACAAGGAACACAATGTTTCATGGCCTTATAAAGGAGTGAGTGCTTTGCGGGGCATCTTGCCGCGTAGCGATCTCCCAGGGGNAATGTTTCATGGCCTTATAAAGGAGTGAGTGCTTTGCGGGGCATCTTGCCGCGTAGCGATCTCCCAGGGGCCCAACAGGCCACTCCCTTCAACTTGAACAGATATGCTCTACTTTTTCTCTACGTTCTCCAGACGTTTATGACGGGATGTGTGTACTTTGGGTGGGCTCCGCTGTCTGCAATGCTACTGAGGGCGGAGGTCTTCAGCTTCAAATGCGACATCGATGAGAAGGGTTCTTTCGTAGATGACCAAAGGGAGTTCGGCAACAACTACATCTGCGACGAGCAGGACGCATCCGTGCAAAGCCTTTTTGTTATCACACTGGCGACGCATTGCACAATGAGTGCACTTGCTGGTGCCATGATGGACACCTTAGGTCCAAAAATAACATCTATGATTGGCCAGTGCTTTCACGTAATCGCGTGGTCTCTGATATCCACTCTGACGGCGGAATCGAACGTCCGCGTATACTTGGGCTTTATATTTATGGGCCTGGGAGCAGACACAGCTTTCCTGCCCACGTTGCTTATTACTCGCCTCTTTCCCGGAGCCGCCGCTACTATAATAACACTAATTGGCTCTGCATCTTCTGCTTCTTTTGCTATTCCTCTGATCTTAAACTCTTATCTCACTGATAGTGGCATTTCAGGGTGCTGGTGGTACGTTGGTTTTGGCCCTTGCCTCTTTTTGTTCGTTGCTGCACTTTCGATGCCTCTAAAGGCCTTCAGGGTCTTCGAAGATGATCTTCCAACGAATCAAGGCAATGCACAAACGGACCAGCGTACATTGTCAGAGTGCCCGCATCTCTCGAAACAAGAAACAGGAGAACTGACATCATCTGCAGAACGCTGCTCAAAGGAGGTGAAGGAGGCGCAGCCAACAGGAGCACCGACGAAGCATACCTTCTTGAAGACCCTGTTCTCGGAGAGCTATCTGCTCGTCGTTATATACTTCGTTGCGGTGGGATGGATTACATCTTTCTACCAAGAGGCCCATGACCGCATCCTGGAACCGACCGCTCTAAACTTCTTAGGGAGTGCACTGCCTTTCTCTTTTATCCCGTGCATCATTTTGGGCAAGCTTTCGGAGGGTATTGGCATTTTAGCTGTTATGGGGATAGTGAACTCAGCCGGTGTATTGGCGTACGCATTTAGCTTGAAGCAAACAGTAGTGACTGGCATCATTTCTGTGTTATGTTTCGTCGTGTATATGTCGTTATTCGTTTCTCAAGTATTCGTGTACGTGGAAGAAAACTTCCCTGCTAAGTTTTTCGGTCGCCTCATTGGCATTGTACAACTGGTGGGCGGCTTGTTGTCTCTCCTGTGCAGTCCACTGTTCCATTTGACAGTCGGCCTAGGTCCGAAGGGTATGTATGTTGTCCAGCTGCCAATGATTGGCCTGCTGCTCCTAATGTATCTCGTCTTGGCTCGCATGTGGTGGATACACCGGAGATCTCAGGTTTCACGGAAGAAAGAAAATGACCCTGTAGCCATAGCAGGGTCTGCAGTGCCGGAACTGTAAGGGCCCGACAGCTACTACCGCGTCGAGTACCAGGTTCAGGGCGCATCAAGGAGGGTACCCACGCAGCATGCAGTACTGTGCATATCTGTGCTCAGCAACTGCATGCACGTCTACCTTTGAAGGACCTCGCTGCTGTCGGCAATTTGCCGCAGTGTGTATTTCGTGTCTGTAATATTGGCTTGAGTTCGGCCAGCCACATGCTCGAGATAGATTTAGTTACTTCTCCCTGTCCCTGCTGCAGCTCCCCTGCTTCCGAGATGTTTGGTTTGTGGATGTCTATATGGCGCGTATCTGGTGGGCGCATATCATCTTCCACGGCTGTTTGCACCTATTGCTCGCCACTAGGTACAAAAGCGGTACCCAGCCCTGCTGTTNATCATCTTCCACGGCTGTTTGCACCTATTGCTCGCCACTAGGTACAAAAGCGGTACCCAGCCCTGCTGTTGGTGGCGAGCCGAAGTCAAAGGGTCTGCATGAAGCGCAGCCGGTTCATTTTTCCGTTTGTGCTACAACTGCTGCTGTAGGAAACGACACGGACTTCTCTGACACGGGCAGAGAAATAAAGAAACTTCTCTGCACTTTAAGTTACACAGCTTTACCCCCTGAGCCGTGTGCTACTTCGACAGAACTTCGATGTTCGTTCTCGCCTCATAGACTTCTGGGGATGACAGACTTTCCACTCAGTATTGACATATTTGAAAGGTTAGATATTCATCGGGCTTCCACCCAGCAGCAGAATGCCGTAGTTGCCGACCGAGCTTCTCGCCAAAGGTCAACAGAATCCGAGCACAACGCGCATCGGGATATGCATTCCTTGGAACGTGCAAGAGGCAACAACATTCACGGGCTTATGGAGCTCATTGTTTTGGCTCGCTTATTAGGCATAGANAACGTGCAAGAGGCAACAACATTCACGGGCTTATGGAGCTCATTGTTTTGGCTCGCTTATTAGGCATAGATATGCCGTCTGGTGAAGGCTTCGCACGCACTGCAGCAGCAGACCCTACGGTTTCGTTGCCTTCTTCCTCCTGAGCCACCCCGCCTTCCGCAGAGCCAGAGGGTTCTTCTTCTTCATTGTCCCTAGATTTAGAGGCAACGTCAGTTAGAAGCACTGAAGTCCCTTCCGGAAATGCCAAAGCTCCATTCAATTGGGCATGACTATCCTGTTCTCCTATGTCTGCAGCTTCATTCGCCATACCAGGGGGAAGGACGTAGTACGGTAGTTTCCCCCGTTGGAGATCATACAGCACTACATCAGACCACACAAAGATGCACATGATTCGCAGCAAATAGCCCAAGCTGTGATAGGCAGGGGAGTTTTTGAAATGGCCGAGTCACTATGATTCGGTGGCGCTTACTGATGCGGGCGGCAGTTGAAATATCGGGTTCCCCGCCCTTCTTCAGTTTTCCAAGCCGAACTGCCAAAAGTGCGAGAAATTCCTCAGCATCTTCCCACGTCGTGGTTTGATTTAGACCATAGCGGGTTATCACAGCTTCCCTGAGTAACCAGCCCAGAAATGCCCACTCCCTGGAGTAACGAATGCTCGTTCCCAGGATTACCGTGCGCGTTTTAGGTTAATTGTAGGAGGAACGCACCTTTTGACCCTCTCTAATACAGTTCCGATGTGCTCCTCTGGGGCAGCTATCCTTTCCGGCCGAACAACACCTCGCATCACCTGTAAGCAATATTGATACGCTGGTTCCCCTCATTGAGAAAATAACACTGGGAAAAGCAACGCAGTTGGTTGTTCTTAACGAGGTGAAGTTGAATGCAGAAACTGTCACCGGCGCATACACGTAGGATCCCCTTTGCACCAGTGGACCGGCAACGCGCGTTAACCAGCAGGCCAATGCTTAAATCGCACCTTATCTGTGTCACTGCCTGCATCGCTGCTGATTGGAACAATGCCCGGACAGTCGATGAGGTAGAGTTTCGAGGTAAGGGCCACGTATTGCCACACGCGGGTCTGAAGCACTCATACAAAATTCGCATATACCTTGCAGAGCTAAGGCGTTGCAAAGGTATGTTAATATCATTGAAACGAAAATATTGAAGTTCCAACTGGAGGGATCCGCTCGTTTATCGATGAAGACTTCTTCGGTGAAGTCTACNTCAGCAGTAAGCTAATATGTGGATGATTCAAAGGAAGGTGACCGACCTGGCCAGGTATCGGGGCTGCCTTGCAGACTTGTTTGCTCTTCAAAAAATTGATGATGGAACTTTTCCCTACGTTAGGGTAGCCGAAAAATCCAATAGATACATGCTTCCTATCCGAAAGCAACTGCCCGTACTGCCTGCGGAGAAGTGAACAAGAAATACACAACTACCGATGTGAAACTGCATCGCCGCCGCACTGGGAATACTCCAAGTGGTTCGTGAAAACTTTTGCACCTCAGTAGTTGGAACAATTGAGTCCTGCCGATGTTCTTTTTGTTCTTGTCAGCCTGCATGAGCAGCGTTGGCATCTCCTTGCTTAGCTGCCGTAACCAATGTTGTGCGACTCGCGGCGGCACCAAATCCACCTGCACACAGGGCATCCGCTCCACGAAAACTACTACCAATCGGAGCTCAAGCTCAGCATGATGCAAATAATGCAGTAATATACTATCCTACCTTGTTTATGACCAGCACTAGGTGCTTCGACGAGCGCTGTGCCTTCAGATATCTTTCAAGGCGCGTGCACCTGCGTTGCCACGCAGGAACAAAGCATACAGAAAACAGAAGAAGTTAGAAAGAGTCATATNTAGAAAGCCTACTGAAGCGCCCCATGATAACACAAACTTTTCGTTTCAGCAGCCAAAACAATAAAGTGTGCCAAGCCCTTCCCCACGCATACCGAGTTCCCATCGGGTCCCGTGCGTCCACAACTTGTACGAGGACATCAGAAGCATCAATAACTTTGTACAATTCCTGGACACAATCCCGACAAACACGCCTACACCGCGTTGTTGCCAATGTAAGAAAAGCACAAAATTACCTAGGGAGGAAGCACGGGGTTTAGAGGTTTCTGCGTGTTTCTAGATGACTGAGAAAGCGCACTCCCCATATCCTGCGGCTTGTTCCCTTCTGGTAGATCGACTCTACGGGACACCCCTCGCCACCACTGTCTGCCACAGCAGCCGAAGAAGCAGCGGACTTTTCAAAGGCTGCCTCTCGTTCAGCCGCCTGCGTTAAGCCACATGGAAGCAAAGTCGCTCCGACTAAGCGCAAAGTGGAGCTTTCTCATTGGGTGTGTGGCCAAATGCAGTGCTGCTTACCTGAGAAGCCAACGTGGTCAAGTCAGCTGCCTGTAGACGCGGCCGTTTGCGGGTTTTCTTGCTACCAAAGACACCTTCAAAAGGCTCAAGAGCGATGAGCGCATCGCCACGCAATTTTGGCAACGATCCACCAGCAGTTACAGCTTCCTTTTGGCCTCCAACATTTCCATCTTTTATAAGGCTCATAGGTAACTTTGACCGCTTCAGAACGACNCTTCCTTTTGGCCTCCAACATTTCCATCTTTTATAAGGCTCATAGGTAACTTTGACCGCTTCAGAACGACCCTGCAGGCACCAACACACCTTTCCAGGAGGAAGGGGAGCTGTGAACTGTATCCCTAGGAAGCTATTTTCATGGAATACATTGTGCAGCAGCATAGGTAAGTACAGATAGATAGATCGAAAAGAACAGGAGCAGCGCGGGAAATAATTTTGCTTTCTTCCTGAGCCTTACGTGTACGGATCGGCTGTCGCTTTTTGAATATCCTCTCTGAAAGCTGCAAGCTTTTGCTGGTCGATTACTCGCGTGTTTCCAAACCACCGGCGATCAGGCTGAATTCTTGCAGGCGCTAACGGTTGCGGTTCTTTGCCTCCAGGCCGCAACCACTTGGGCTTGGAGTTGTACATCTGCAGCAGTCTTATTTTGCTTGCAGAGCGATAATGGCCTGACAAATAAGATAGACACTCCGCAGTGCCATGAACATGAGTCACCTCCGCTGGTGGTTCCATGCACTTCCTAGCGCGGACTCGTTGAGCAATTTTCCACTTTCCGTTCCCTAACATTGTAGTATGCGCACCAAGACCAAATCTCCGGAATGGTAGGCCTATTTCCAGCAGACCTACCTGGCTTCTTATTGCTCGGTATTTGACGATTGGGCAGAGTCGACGCCGCACCCCGCGTGATGGCGGAACCCTGCTTGGCCCCCCCCCCTCCAGTTTTAGGGGCACCACCGCCCTTTCGTCCCTTCATCTTCGCCATGGCTGAGACCGTACCTTATTCAGGAATCTCGAGATTCGTGAACGAATGCCCTTTCAAGCCTTTTCCTCTTCGGTAATACTAAGGAGCTGAATATCGCCAGAAGTTAAGTCGCCTAATTGGTAATCCTCACCAATGTGTCTGCTGAGCCAGAATAATTACCAAAAAGAAGTGCCCTTCACATTCGTGTTCATTTCAGATATGGAATCCTCGCATGTTCAATCCGTATCCTCGCATGCTCGATCCCGTTGAGAAGTGGNTTCATTTCAGATATGGAATCCTCGCATGTTCAATCCGTATCCTCGCATGCTCGATCCCGTTGAGAAGTGGGGGCAGCGCCTGCATCGATCCATCCCTTCTTCCTCCCCGCACCGTACAGAAACTAGTTTGTATCACCTCCGGATTAGAGAAAGCCCCGGGTATTCCTTCGTATTTATTCGATGCTCGTTAGATAGGCCACGAACCACTGTGGCCGACAGAGCATACATGCATGGATGCCAGCCCCAAAGACCCCTGTCCGTAAATGAACTCTCCGTCAAAACCCAAGTGATTAATATCTTCCATTATTACCAAGAAATATACAATAATCTGTTTCACGAAAACATGTCAAGGACCGGTGCTTGAGGGAGGAGCCTGCAAGGGGCGGCTACAGGTGTTGCTGGGTGATCCGCCCTTTAGCATGCTCCATACTCCCTCATCCATGACTAAATATATCCTCCTCAAGATCTTCCTTTCTTGTAAGCAACACGCCACCTCCTTCTAGTCGATCTGTTGAAGAAGAGCTGGTAGCTGTCTGGCCGCCGTGTAGACTGCCGCTTACCGCCGCTACGGAGGCGCAGGACTCAAGAGAATATACGAGTACGGCCTTATTACCCCCGGGCCATGCAGCTGCCTTTCCACCGTCAGGATCGTCAAGAGCTCTCACTGCAGGAGGGACAGCAGCCGACAATTGTCCAGCATCAGCAGCAATTCCCAAAGCCAAGTCAACATCCCCACCAGAGACAGCAGCAGCTAGACCGGCGGAAACAAGAGCATTGCGGGGAGAGTAATGCCCCGAGCAAGGGGTCAAGGGGTGGCAACTGTGGTTCGAATTCGGCAAATCCCGCGTTCAAGACGCCGCCTTGGGCCTACAGCCCTGTCTTGCAGCCGCCAGCAGCCGCAGGGCTTTCCCAAAGACGCCATGTTCTAACATTTGGTAGCAGGAGAAACACAGACGGTAAATCAGTTGCAAAAAGTGCAGCGGATCCACTAAAAGTGACGGTCCTTGGCGCTGGTCAAGATGTCGGGCGCAGTGCGGTGTACGTACGACGAGGCGAGAGGGGGCTCCTCTTCGACTGCGGGAGCCACCTGGGCGCTAAGCAGGCCAGGAAGATGCCAGTGTTGAACATGCTGCTGCAGCTCGCCCCTCAACAGGATGCAAAACAAGGGCCACAGACGATGGAAGAGGCACTCCTGCAGCCTTCGCCGCTGTTTGCCTGTTGCGTGGACGCCGCGGTGATCTCGCATTTTCACATGGATCACTGCGGTTCCTTACCGTCATTTACAGAGCGCCTCGGGTAAGAATGAGCATGTTGATATCTCGCGCGCCTCTGTGAAGACTAAGCTGTCCGGTGTTTCTTCCCCACCATACTAAAATTGAAACACCGTGTTGATAGCCACCCACTACTGAGTTTCACTTGCATTAAGAGGCCATGCTTTGACGCTTCTGCAACGGCATTTAAAAGTGAATTAGCGAATGCTGATTTGCTTTACTACTAGCCGGCATGAAACTGCTGCTACCAGTCCTTATCCTGATTTTCCGGAACCGATGAACACATTCTCTTTCCTGTCTGTCAGCTACCGGAATCCTATAGCAATGACATTTCCCACTCGCGCGCTGAGCCCGGTACTGCTTCTGGATAGTGCCCGCATCTTTAAGGAGGCCTCTTTCCGCGGGCGCCTGCACGAAGGTGAGGCTGTTCACTGGGTTGCATGTAAGNCATCTTTAAGGAGGCCTCTTTCCGCGGGCGCCTGCACGAAGGTGAGGCTGTTCACTGGGTTGCATGTAAGCCTGAAAAGCATGCGTGCATGCATGCACGCATGCATGCAGGGATGCATCAATCTGCACCTTGAACGTATCGGCCTGGTGTAACGAATTCAATGCTGCTTTTGGTGCTTTTCATGTATTGCGAGGAGATCCAGGTGAAGGCAACGATAGGGATATTTGTGTGGGCGGCAGTACTACCAGCAGCGAAGGCAGAGCGGGTGGAGCACCAGGGGCGCCTCAGGAGCAATGGAATTACACCGAAGCTGAGGCACAGCGGTGCATGAGACGCTGTATGGCATTGAGGCTTCACGAATCCTGGAGGACTGGCGCGTGGACGGCCACCCCGTACTACGCCGGGCATGTCTTAGGCGCTGCAATGCTGCTTGCGCAGCTCCCGGGGGGTCATTCGATAGTTTACACAGGTTAGTTATCGCACTAAGACCGTTAGGCACGGGTTGTTTGCTGAAAGCAGAAAATCTCAAGATTGCGCTTCGACTTGTAGCTCTGGCTACGATTTCACGTGAAATAGGGCGGAATCCGCCTCATTGCTGCGTGGCAGAGCACATTTGGTGTTTGCGCTAAACCCCGAGTTCTCGCAAATCCCTGCTTACGATATAATACGCAGGCGATTTCAACACGTCGCCTGACAGGCATCTAGGTAGCGCANCAAATCCCTGCTTACGATATAATACGCAGGCGATTTCAACACGTCGCCTGACAGGCATCTAGGTAGCGCATGCATTCCAAGGCTCAGACCGGATCTGCTGATAAGCGAGTGCACTTATGGCTCGTTCGTGCGGCCGTCCAAGAGGATAACAGAAAGAGAATTTTGCGATGCCGTGCACGACGCTCTCAAAAAAGGAGTTAGTGTATTTCTTTTCCTTTCCCTTGCAACTGCGCACGGGGCGCACAGCTTCTGCAGTACCATAGCGTTCATCTCCTTCATTTCCGTGGTTTTGTAGGTTCTGGCGCTTTGATCTGCAGGGTAAAGTCCTGATCCCCGTCTTCGCAGTAGGCAGGGCGCAAGAGTTGTGCATGCTGCTGAATTCCTACTGGCAGCGCATGCAGTTGCAGTATCCGATCTACTTCGGCGGCGGCATGACAGAGAAGGCCAACAAGTACTACAAACTGTATGTGCAGTGGACTGGCAGTGACATGGTTCACCGCTTAGATGGAGCAAATAACCAACAGAGCAACTTTGCTGATCATGTGGAAGAGGATGAGCCCTCAGGCTCTGGTAGGTTTATGCGTTCCTTGGCGATCTGCATCTGTATGGCCAGTGGGGGTTGGGGGCCAACAGTTCGGTGTTTGTTGCCGAGGTATGCACAACATGCTGCGTGGGTAGTGATATGTCTACAGCACTTGGATTTGGAGAGTTTGACTTTCAACATATCTCCACCCTGCCGCCGGAGGTGCTCACGTCACCCACGCCAATGGTGCTTCTGGCAACCCCTGGGATGCTGCATGGCGGCTTGGCCTTGAAAGCGCTCAAGTTGTGGGCTGGAGGCCCGGAGAACCTCGTGCTGCTTCCAGGATACTGCGTCCGGGGGACTATTGGGGCCATGCTAATTGACGGTATGCTGTTCGCGCGTTTTTTGTCTTGTTTTGCCTTGAGCAAAGAAGGATTCTTCTTTGTGACAACCTTGATTTGGTAGTATATGCAAGGAACCACTGCGACTTGAAGGCNCGCGACATCCCACTTGATGCAAAGACGAGATTAAAGGTTGTATGCAAAGTCAGGTACATGTCATTCTCAGCGCATGCGGATACGACGGGGATCCAGCAGCTTGCGCGACATCTGCAGCCAAAAGCTGTGATGCTGGTTCATGGGGAGAAAGAGGGCATGCTCAAGCTGGCTCGCGTTCTGCAGCGGGAACTCGGTGTTCCAGTTCACACTCCACCCACCGGCCAGACTGTGTCCGTCCCCGTAGACAGGGTCGAGCATCGTGTGCCAGTCTATATCCATGCTCGATGCTTTCGCCGCTATGCGGCAACACCACATAATGTGTCTCTGGCCGTCTCCGCGCGAACGGAAACGCTCTGGGAATCCAACGACCCCACTGTAAGCTGTGATATAAAGGCACCATGGTACTCCCATATCCACAGTATTTCCAGGATGTGCTGTTGCAGCGTAATATCCTATGATATGCATTTCAAGGTGCGAGGGGAAACCTGATTGTAAGAGGGCTTTGTTGCGCCATGCTTCAGCTGACTGCGTTGCTTCGGTCTCCGGCTGTTCGGCGTTACTTACCGCAGCCCTCAGCCAGCCCTTTGCCCCCCCCTTACTCAGCGATCTCGCCCTATTTCTTCCCCCCGTCCTCTCTCTTCTTTTTTATTTCGAGCGTGGCTAGGAAGAGCTTACTAGATAGCCCCATCGAGGAACGAGCCCCTGCCGACGACGTATTCCTATTGGTGGACTTTGAGAACCTCGTTCTAGCGGCCATAGGCGTTACGATGAACGGCTGCGGAAGCATCAAGCATTACGCCAACTCAAATAAGATGTTAACTCCTGCAGACAGCTCAGGGCCCGCAAGTATGGGTGAGAACGAGCTTGTGGGAGGTGCAGAAATTGAGCTGAAGAGGAGGAACAAAACTGAGTTTCCACGATCAGCAGTGATAGGCAAGACGACTGGGGCGGGGGGAGTACTGCCTCGATGCATTCAGCTTGTTGCTCTTCGATACCAGCACGAAGTTCAACTGGAGGCGTCTACATTCCAACAGTTGCTTCATTTGTTCTTGGACTACGTTGTACAGTGCCGGCAGGCGTATGACCAACAACGTCTGCAGTGTGGGCTGGTGCCGGGCAAGGAGCATCCTCCTGCACTTGATACACCCGAATTCTGCAACTTTGGAGAGCACCTGGGGCTGAAGGAACTTGAAGGCGGTGGAATTCTCATAGAATTCCTGTCATTGATTGCGATCCACGATGGCCGCGACCGTCTACGCATGCAGTGGTCAGATGCGGTAAGCTAGCAGTCCCCAACTTTAACTCTCTTCGACTTTCCAAACGCCATTTGGACTTGGGTAGAGTTTGTATTCCGGCGCGTTCGTACGCTTTCGCATTCGCCTGTGTTTCCTTTGCGNTTTGGACTTGGGTAGAGTTTGTATTCCGGCGCGTTCGTACGCTTTCGCATTCGCCTGTGTTTCCTTTGCGCCTTCTAGGACGAGCGGCGGCCTGGAGCTGTGTCTGTTTTTGTGGAATATTTCTCTAGCTTAGAAGGAATATGTGCAAATGCCAGTGTCGATGCACGGCCATCACTGGCTGCTTAATATATTCCGTTAGTATTCATTTACAATCTCGCTATTGGCTAGGGCATCAATAGATAATTTCCCCCAATCTGGCAGCGGCTTTTTGTTCATGGAAAGTGTCCGCCTGCATACGGCCAGGATTTTCCAACAAGCCCTTACGAGCCATCTTAGTACAATTTGAATATCAGCTGGTTTGTGCGACGCAACTCTTCTTAGCCCAAGCGCGTCATGAAACTCTGGACGCCATGCAAAGTTGACTTTTTGGGTTGGGAATGCACATAAGAAGCTCCCTTGTGCTGTTGTCTAAAGTGATTTTGCAAGGTTACTTACGCGCATTGACTTTTTCTGGACATCTTTCCCGCTGGTTTAGAAAATGATTCTGCTGAAACGAACACTGGATGTACATCCCGCAACCGGCTGCGGCGGAAAGCTGAAAGCTTTTCGTCTTTCGGCAGATAGAAGCCCTGTTGTTCACTTGTACGATGGTGCATTTTACATAGAGAAAATGGTGAATGCCTTTACATTTTTTGCCGTAGCAATTGTTTGCAAGGTGTCGGCTGTTGGTGCAGATAGCCCCAAAGTACAGGCGGGCATGGTGGTTGGGAAACTACGCGTGGCACCGGCGAGCGGAAGAAATGCGATGATTGGTATTGGGAACGATCCAGACCAGTTCCAAATCGGCATTGATGGATCAGGGGAGTTTATTATTGCAAGCCCGCGGAAAACGATATTGAGTGTCGACAACGAAGACACCATGCGTATCTACGCCAACCTGACAACTAGGTATGAAATGAGTGCGCACCATATATGACCACTTTATCATGTCACCACCCGTATTCAGCTCCTTGGACCTTCAAGGCCCGCTGTTAGTCCGCGGTGTTCCGCAATTCCGGACGACACACCGTGAGGACTTCTCCGAAGGGAAAGCTGAAGGATGGGACAACCCAGGTCCGTTAATCCGTTCGACAGAAAAAACGATCCAGAAAAACTATCGCCGAGCAGCTTCGCAGGATATCGTTTCATCCTGCGCAGGGATATCGATGCTGGGAGGCTATGGAAAGTTCGCTAAGGTATCCGGTTCAGAAGCAGAACAAAAAGGAACTCTCGCTAGAAAGAACTTCACAGGGAGAAATAAGCAAAAGGTTTGACCGCCTACCCCTCCATAAAGAGCTCCGAGTCAAGGCTGTCTTTCACTTTATTGATGCATGGGTACAACGCCTCCATTCAAAGTAGCCTTGGCCTTAGTATATCATGCTAATGCTGCAGATAGGAGAAACTGGTTTTATGCGACTCGACGTTGGTACGGTGAACACTTTGTGCCAAACGGAAATAGAACCGCATCTATACTCGACTTCGCCGCGTGTAGGCCCAGACGGGGGCCTTGTATACACCTGGACTGAACGGTATTTGAATCTTTCCCTGAAGTCTAGCCAATGATTGCTATCATTCGATGATGGCCCAGACATTCCCAGGATTTCGAGCAGAAAGCAGTAAACGCATGTGGAGGTAAACGCATCGCTGTACCGGTGCAAATGGGTACACCTCTAACTACTCGCACTCTCCAGGCCCTGTTGGCGAAGGTAAATTCTCTACACCGATAGAGGTCATCGTTCCTCACGAGCGCGAATCGGTCACTGTTGCGTTTGGGAGCACGGTGAGGGAATACAGCACAGTCCCNTCGTTCCTCACGAGCGCGAATCGGTCACTGTTGCGTTTGGGAGCACGGTGAGGGAATACAGCACAGTCCCACGCAAACAATTACGGAACCCGTTGGTATACAGATTGATACAGACGACCCGTATGATCAGAGTTGGGGAGTAAGTTGAGCAGGGCTGTGTGAAGAGCTGTCCAGTAACTCCCCTGATACGCTACTTAAAACAGGTATCTGCAGTTGAGATTGCTGTCCGCTAGGCTCTGACGCCTCTTGCGTCACGTTGATCGGACCACAAGCAGAGTTGCAAGTTGCTCAAGCAACTTGCTTGAGCACTTGGCTTTTGAGGAAAGCAAAACAACTCTCCTGTTGGGGTTCCCCTCTACTGCTTTGGCGGCAGATGGAAACAATCCCATGCTACTGCTGTAGCAATCCTACCACTACAGCTCACCCTCCTCATGAGAAACAGACTTATTTCGGTCTTGCTCCTCCTCAATCATCATGCCTTCTGTTGTGAGCACAAGCCCGGCAACTGAAGTTGAATGCTCGATTGCGGAAATGCACACTTTGGCTGGATCGATGACACCCTGGCTAATCATATCTCCAAACCTATTCGTTTTGGCATTCCAACCAAACCCAAATGGCTTCTTTGCATTNCCTGGCTAATCATATCTCCAAACCTATTCGTTTTGGCATTCCAACCAAACCCAAATGGCTTCTTTGCATTTAAAATTGCGTTGACTACGCGTTCACCATCCAATCCTGCACAGGAGGAATCGTATCGACACGACATTTATTAACTATCGGCCATACATTATACCTGTACATGCACATCTATGGATGATATATATATATATATATATATATATGCAAATGATAGCGAGGAAACCGCATTCAAGGACGAGCTAAGCAACCTCCAGTTAGAAGCACGCACCTGCATTCGATGCAATCTGTTTCGTAATGGAGGACATTGAATCCGCCACAATATTCGCTCCAGCTTTCTGCAGCTCAATCTCGCTCTCCATTTCCTCTGCGCATTCCACACACTATGCGGGTGCTTCGCTTTGCGGTGTGGCACGCACTGCAGAGATTCACAACTACCACGAAACTATCCTAATAACATCAACAACAGGAACAGCAGCAACAGCAATAACAACTGCTACTGCTACTTACCAACCACTTGGAACTCCTCTCCCGTTGACTCGTCCACTCCCTTCATCTCTTCACGGGCTGTCTGCTCCACCGTGTCCAGAACTTTCTTTCGGAACTGATCAGTACTTAGTGCCAGATAGGTAACGCCACCGCCTGGAACATACCCAGTTTCAATAGCTGCTCGTACTGCATTGATTGCATCTTCGTACCGCAGCTTCTTCTCCTTTTGCTCAGTCTCCGTAGATGCGCCAATCTGCAAATATCTCGCACCCGGTGGAAGCCAGATGCGCTACCAGCCAATATGCTCAACGAACATATGAACTAAAAAGACTTCACACAACAATTCCCTCCAGTCACGGCTGCTGAGGCATCCAACGATCTGCGCGATGCTTACCATGATCCTTGCAATGCCTCCTGACAGAGCAGCAATGCGCTCGCCTAACTTCTCCTTGTCGAACTTCGAAGTGGCCGTCTCCATTTCGCCCTGAAGTCTCTGCACTCTGAAACAAGAACTCAAAGCGCCCAAAAGTAACCACTGTGCATCGTCCGCGTAGCGGCGATCAGCGAATGCAGAAGCAGAAGCATTGCATGGTATAGATTATATGAATATATATCATATACATATATTTGCGCATTATATATATAAATATATTTCGTTCACCTCTCTTGGATCTGTTCCTGGAACTCAGGTCTTGTTAAGATGGAGGTCCTGTCTTTTCTCACTACAACTCCTTGAGCGCTGCCGATATGCTCAGCTGTCGCCTCTTCTAAAGGTAGACCCAAATCCTTAGATATTAGTTGGGCGTTTGTTGCCACTGCAATGTCGCGCAAGTAGTCCTTCCGGCGCTCGCCAAACGAAGGGGCCCGGATAGTCACCTGAAAGCACACATATGTTACGACTGTCATGTATGTTTACGCGCACTTTCGCACCTGCATATTCCCCTCTATAAACCTCATCCGGGTTGCTGAGCTGCATGGCGCGTTCCGTGAGTGTTTGTGTGTGTGCTGCCTCGGGTGAGCTGAGCTGAAGCCGAATCTTTTGCGCACCACTTTGAGGAGCCTCCTCATGCTGTTGATGATGCAGGTTTGGAGCATGTCTGTGGAGAAGTCCTCAGCAATGATGACCAAAGGCTCTTTGGTCCTCACGAAATGCTCAAGAATTGGAAGCATTGCTTGCGCACTCTCAATCTTGTAATCGCAGACCATGACGTGCGGGTTCTTCCACTCGATGAAGTCTGCTTCTTCGCCCAGCAAGAAGTAGGGGGAGCTGTAGCCTCTTTCAAACGTGTAGCCTTCGGTAAATTCTAGCTGCAACAACAGCGACAATGCCACACTGTCCGTGCAGTATATAGTGGGCGTGGACACTGCGGTCCACCTTCACCCGCACACACGTGCAGCACGACCAACATGGGCTTTTGCGAATCATAGTTGGCTTATTCTCCTACATTATCCTCTTGCGATGGATTGTTCTCCAGGACTATGGCTGCGTGGTTGCCGAGTTTGTCGAAAGCCTTGGCAATTACTTCGCCCATCGACGCATTCCCGCTCGTGGCGACAGTGGCGATGTTCAACAAGTCGCCGAAACCATTTACGGGTTTTGCGAGCTTCTTCACTTCGTCCATCATGATACGCGCAGCCTTCTGGATTCCGCGCTGCAACGGGATGGGGTTGTGTCCCTGGTTCACGTACTCAACTCCCTGCACAGGGAAAATACACAAGTGGTGACTGCAGCAAATGGAGGCCAGATTATACATCGACTGGTAATGCGCGCAGCACAACGAGGAGACAAAACACACCTTCTTTGCGATTTCAGCCGTAAGGATAGTTGTGGAGGACGTTCCGTCCCCGGCCCACTCATCTGACGTCGATGCCACTTCTTGCACGAGTTTCGCCCCAGCATTGTGCGCCCTATTCGGCAGTTCAATATTGCGTGCAATCGTAACCCCATCATTCACAATTAACGGAGGTCCGTAGTCCTTTTCCAAAAGAATATTGCGTCCACGAGGTCCAAGGGTGACCTAATTAACATACATGAAGGGCAATTTGCATGAAAATGGAAGGCCGTCGCTACACCCGAAAGCTCGGTGTGGACAGCACTGTGTGACATCCACTTTTAGCTTACACGAACAGCATTGGCAACTTGTTGAATCCCCTCC